AGAAAATTAACTCTATCCCAGCCGAAACCAGGACAGGGTGAATCTTTTCAACTTAATCTTCATTGTTTTCTGTGCACACAATATATTAACCCAGGAAAAATTGAACAGGATTTTACAGGCATGTCTTGAAACTTTGGCCTCGTGTGTATATAATCCCACTGATGCCATTGGCATGATACCAACAGAAAGCAAATGTAATGGAATGTAAGCAGTATCTCAGCATCTTTTCTCAAACCAGTCATGTTTTTTTGTGTGCCCCCAAATTTAATTTCACAGAAATGCTTTATTTTTAACAATAAGTAGTAGTATAAACATATAAATACAAGTAATACCATATTAATAATTTATAAAGTACCATAAACATATTAGAAATAAATAATAATTATATATCCTGGTAAACATAAATATCAGGTTTGTAATATTAGTAGATAATAATAATGCAGTAATTAGCAATTTAGAAATACACCTAAGTGTTTTTTTTTTTTAATGTAAGGAAGAGAAGAGAGAGTGTGGTGATGTGAGCACAATTAACAGCTTTATTGGCAATGTCTTCATTTCACGTACTCCTTTTTTAACTTCAGTCTTTATCCTTTCCTACAGTCGCTCTCTAACAGGGAAGAAGAAAAAAAAGATGACCTTACGGTCTTTCGCTCCTGTTTATACCAGTGTCTTGATTCCAAGCCCCCCTGGAGCAAAAAGGTATATTTGAAGGTAGATTTATGTCCTGCCCTACTTGGCAGGACATAAACAAAATTCACAGCAACACAGATGTGTAACACATATACCTAGAGCTGCTGTTCAACCAGTAAACACGTATCCTGAGAATTTCCGGAGTTTACAGTGAAATAGTCTGTCTCTACTAAAAGCAACAGTTAAATTCTAACTTTAAATGACTGAATCCTAATGAGTTACTGAAAAGTCTGTATGTGCACATGTATACAAACACACATTTGCCTTGCTGATCTTGACTCAGCAAATTCTAAGTTGCATAAAATTTGCTTATGTGGTGTAGCTTTCAACATTAGGCTCGTCTTAAGGAAAGGCTATCAAAAAATTTAATTTGCCTAGTTAAAAAAAAGTAGGCCTACAAAAGAGAGAGGGAGAAGACAGTATGTGTACCGTGTACACTTCTGTATATTTTGTATTAGTCACTAATATACACTGTCCTGTTCTAAGCTCATTAACCCAATTGCTCACCAAAAGTGTCTTTATATATTTACATTTGCATGTGGAATAAGCCAAAATGCCAAAGATAATCTTAGTTCGGAAAAAGATGGGTCCAACGTTTTAAACTCACACACTGCTTTTTCTTAAATGCAAAACTTAGAAGCTACTGTAGAATCCATACCATAAAGGGATAAATGCTGCAATACTCATAGGTATGAAAGCACCGAGCACATCACCAAGATGAGTTCACTGAAAATTTCACATCCAAAAATATGCTTCCAGGATTCAGAGTTATGTATTAACATTACAAAAACCTTGGGAGGTGTCTAGAATTGACTGGAACAATGGAAAAAAAAAATCTGCTACAGAAAGGCTTAGATGTATCTATTTCAGCCAACATGATGCCAGTTTGACTGTTTCCCTGACTCTATAGTATAACACATATGTTTCTCTTCTTTGCAGTGAATATCTTTTCCGACAGCTGTGTGCCATACACTGGCTTTTGGAAGCTTTGACTCTTGAATCCAACAGTTCGATGCATTCCATATTAACCTGTTGGAATCCAACGTATGTGCATGATACATTATAGTAGATGGAATGAGGAGTTTGGGATCTTTTGTCCTTTATATGTTGTTGTTTCTCTTCTTTCAAGTAATAACTATTTGAGTGAAATGTTATTAATTCTGTGCCATGCAACATAAACAAATTTTACATCAACTTTGCCCCCATGCAGTCAGCAGGGAGTTGTACAATCAAATCAGTAGCACAGCATGGTCCTCTATTATTGCAAGTTGCAGAACTAGGAGAAAATACTGAGCTATCCCAGCCAAATTTAGTTGTGTTTTCTTTCCTTTTTCTCTTTTTGGTTAATAATTATGCACATTAAATACATGTAGTAATACATGTACGTATATTCCCATAGCCTTCCCTTGGAGGGTTATCCCAGTGAACTCAACAGAAATTCCATATACATTACAATTACAGAACAAAGCTGGCTATTAAGTGATATTTAGTAGCTGGGTTTATTCTATCAATTATGTATGACAGTGATGGGTACTTGTAAAAGATGCATTGCTTCTGAACTTTTATACTGTTAAAAGTAAATATTAAGTTCCCAATGTTTTTACTCAATATAATCATGTTGACATAAAACGTATTTAAATTATTCATGAGTGTTTAGTAAAACAGTGAACAGTTTATGGCCTGATTTGCAGGGCAGAGCTCTTCAAAGCTGTTCTGTTCTCTCTGTATATTCTCAGTCAAGACCAGTTGTGCCTACATACAGCAGAGGTGGTGGAGTAGCATTGTATAGAATTAGTTGGATAAATTGGAGGGGAGAATCAGTCCATTATGTATTGTGGATGGGGTTCTCACCCCTTTACATATAAGGACCAACCAATAGACTGGGATAAAAGAAACAGTTTCTCAGCAAGTCTCACAGATACAGGCTGATAGCAGAGTATAAATGCATAAGGCTCTAGATTAATTTCCAGGTGTTCTGAAGTAGTGCAATCTCTTGTTGCATACTTCCTTCTGTTCTCTGTTACCGTCTCTAACCACCCCTCCTCTCCCTTAATGTCATTTGAACTGATCTGCATACACACATTCTTCATCACACAGAAACCATGAAAAATTAGGCTTCTATTTAGTACTTTTATATCATATAGTCTCTGTCTGCACAAAAAGAGGGGTTTTGTTTTTTTTTTAAATGTGGTGAAGGAAGCAAGCTTAGAATGCTAATCTGCTTTGTAAAACCTTTGACTGGTTAGATAGGGATGAATGATAAATGAGACTACCTCAGCAATGACCTGTTGCTATACCACAGCTGCAAGGACTGCAGCTTCCACATTTAGCTTTGTCAGCATGATGTAACATTTAAACTTTTGGACTGGTACAGGTCCTCACTCAGCCAACAGCACTGAAAAATCAAACTTAATATGAACCTGCTGTCATTTGTATCCATGAAATCTTGCTATACTGGACAGAATTCTTCAGTACTTGCACAGCGGAAGTTGAGAGCATAATCTGGCCTAGTACATGCATGATAGCTTGTAGAATGACTGTGCTTTCTTTAGGTGGTTCTTCACTTGTAACTATAACATACTCATGGCTTATATACCTTGCATTGTCTTTCCATTTCTTATAAGCAACGATATACATCATAGTAGCAGTCAGCCACCATTTACTCTCCATTTATTGCATTTCTTAAAAGAACTTACAATAGAAGCAAGATACTTCAAAATGGAAGACTAATTACATTGTTTTCACTTAGGGACCCTGGCGGTTGTAAAAAAACAGTAAAAGAAATCAAAGAGGAAAAGTTAGCAACATGCATGTGGGAGCTCTTTATTACAAACACAAAGGTAACTTCATTGTTAATTTCTTCCTTGGGACTTAATGCAACTTTTCAGTCATTTTTTCTGTTGCTTAATTGAACTCCCTGATACCACATTTTATGCTCTGGATCTTGTGACTACAGAGTACTTGTCTTTTTAGGTTTTGAAGAATAACAATTTGATATCGGTATGTAGCTGATTGAAACTGTGGCTTGGTCTTAGTGATAAGTACTGATGTGGGAAGAATTCAATATTCAGTTGAAACATAACTAGCCCCTTGTTTGCATTTGACCCCTTTTTATGACCCAGAGTCATGTAGTGGTACTTGTTTACACAAACATGTCTTTTCCAGTCAAATGGGGATTTCAGACTGGTATCCTGGAGGCCTTATTCTAGTAAATTCTAGTCATTATTTGCTTGGTTGCCTTTTTACACAGAAATTAAAGCTAAATTCAGAAACAAATTCCAAATGTTGAGGCCTTTAAAGAAAGCAGGATTCACTTGCCACAATCAAAGCAAAGACAAGGAAAGAAGAAATCAAGCAATTCAGATGAAAGCCTTTTAAAAGAAAAATAAAGTTAATACCCTAGAGGAAATTAAACACTAGAAAATTATCTGTAACACTTGGTAACCATTTTACTATTTTTCTGAAACCACAAAGATTTGTCTTTTTGAAACTGCTGAAGTGACTGGAGGAAAATTAAGGGGGAATGAGTGATGCTGAGGAGTATAATTAGGAGAACTCAATAAAGAACCAGTGGGTTTCTCACTCTGTAGCATATCATACATTATGATCTTCAGCAGTTTGCTTAAGGTTTTAGTTCCTTGCTTTGCCCCCTATAAGGCTAAATTAAACAAGTTTTGTGAAGTGCTTTTAGAACCCCAGGTGAGGTGCTCTTACAAATATGAGCTGTTACATTCAGGCTATTTGGTCTTGTTATTTGTAAACACCTGCAGCTCATACCCTCATGACATAATAATTAAAATGATTCAATAGAAGATTATGACTTCTGTTGGGGAATAAGCAGCGAAAGTTGTGAAACTTAAAAGACAAAGATTGTGTTTTTATGGAAATATTATTCCTGCTGTTAGCAAACAAAGTCAGCAAGTCACATAAATAACAGAGTTGTTTCTAAATATGAGGCTTCCTGATTTTTCCATACAGTCTTACCAGTCCTCTAAAGTCAGGTGCAAATGAACACGAGCAGAAGATACCAAAGTGCATGTCAGTTCTGATGTGTCTTTTAGCATTTATGTTACTGAGACTTTTATTTTTTTCCTCCTTGAATTAATGACAATTTCCTTTCTGTCATTTACACTAATAATACTTGGAGACTGCTTTTCATATTTGGTACAAAACTTCTAGTGGCAATCTTGGGTTCCTTCAGGGGCACTTGCTTTATAATACATATTGTTCTGATTATCCAGCCTGCAGAATTCAGTCTGTTTTCAGACTTCAGTTTTACATTCCTGACACAGGAAATTCATTTGCCAGGTTATTGGGTGTTGGGAGGAGACCTGAACATTTATCAAACCACTTTGACCTATTCTTCCCTGTACATGAGAAGGTTGCTCCATTACCAACCCTCTCTGCAGCTGCAGTGTTACTCATTTACAAAATTAGTTTAATCTGTTGGCATTAATGCTAAAGCAGAGGAGTATTGAAGAAAGATAACAAAATGAAGGTGGTCCTACCCAAGAAATCACTACCTTGTTTGAAGTCACTGGAGAAAAATCTATGAGGTTACAGGAGGACCAGAGGATCTAATATTGGAATTAATTACAGAAATATGATTCTTTGTTGTCAAATTGCTATGGAAAACTCCTCCTTTCTATTCACTTTTTCTTCCATGTACAGAAATGCATCTGGAAAGCACGATACAGTCCAATCAGCAGGCAGGTAAACAAGACATCTACTCCAGGTATCTCTCAGCTTAGCAGTCAGTCATCTCCCCGTGGTCAAACTCCTTGTGGCAGTGAAACTTCCACTGTACTTTGCTCCGAAGACAATGTCAAGATTAACATAGCTTCGTCTGATGTTATGAGTGAGCCAGCAGAAGCTAAAGAACAACCACGTCTTTTCCCCTGTAAGTTCCTTTTCTTGGCTGCCAATATCAAATGGATTTGCTTTCAGCCTTGCTAGGGAAAGCCTACATCAAAGATTCTGCTAGAGGTACCAGTGTATTTCTCTTCAGATATATTGAACTTTGTACAAGTCTCTCTGTGCCCTCCCTGTTAGCAAATTGGTTTAGGCAATATAATCCCATGTGAATATTAAGTAAGAGTTTTAATTAATACTCAGTTACAGCAGTTGTATAATCGGACTGTCCTCCACATGTGTAAGGTCCAACAGGCAGTGAAAACAGTGCAGCTGTTCTCTGTCATAACCAACTGATCCACTGAATATGTATCTGTCTAACTTAGGGGGTTTTGTTTAACTTAGGGGATTTCTGTCTTTGTATTCCTCCTACTCATCCATTAGTGATAACCTGCACTTGATAGACCTGACAGAATAGTTTGTTAGCTCTGCAATGCATTTCAGTACAAAGCTAGGTAATCTTAAGTCTTTTCCCTTCCTTCTAAGTAAAGCTGGACCAGAAAAGCATGTTAGCATTTAGTACTGCTAATTACTTTTTAATTGATATTTATATTATCATTATTAGGCTGTCATCATGCTCTGCTAGACTCTAAATTAGCACTCAGGAAGGAGCTCTTGAGTCATTTGGGATAGTTCTATGAATGTTCAGTAGCTATCAAAAAGGCAAGAAGAACCCTAAGAATGAGGTGGAAGGCAAAGCAGAAAACATGTTATGCAAAAATACAAATGTTTTGTATGTGCTTCTTCCGTTCCGGTCCTTCCAATTCAGACAGGATGATATCAGAAGTAGTAAAGTTTGATGGGGAAAAAAAAAAAAAAAGTGGTGAGGTATGTTAGGGATACGGAATAGCTTCCAGATGAGAACCAATGAAATAGACTGGGGTTCTTCAGTGCAGTAAAGAAACAGCTGAATACAAGGTTATGATAGATCTCTGTAACATCATGAAGTGCATGGAAAAAAGTTATTAGAGAGTCGTTATTCACAAGTTCCCTTGACACCAGATTTATGGCACACCAAATTAAATTATCTGGCAGAAAATTTAAAGCAATGGGAAGTGTTTTCATGCAATGCATGATTAAACTTAGGAAATAATTGCTACAATATATTGCTGGAAGTATATTCAAGTCCAAAGGCAATTTAAATGAACAGAAGAAAATTAATTGCTCTTAAATGTTACATAAATGTAAATGAATGGGCACATTCTCTGGGTCTGAAACATCTTTAGGATCAGACTGCCAGAAGCTGGGTGCGTATATCGGGGAGCTTGCGCTAATGTCATATACTACCTACGCAGCTGCTGCTGCCCATGGCACTGAGCGCAGATGAATGGCCTTCCTATGACATGAATGGGAGTAGTGGAGAATTCAAACCTATAATTTCAAGCAATTTGTTTACAGATGTAGGTGAACAATTGGTTTGTGTGTGAGATGAGATTTGAATCTTGAGAGCTGTAACAGCCTGGCGCTTCCATTTGCTGTGAGACATAAAGAAATATCTTGCTGTATGCAGGATGTATGGGAAGGATGTTCAGTGTACCCTTTGGAACATCTATCACATGATTGCCTGTGATTTCAGGGGACTAGCCTGAGTTACCAGTCTGGTCCTCTCAAGGATTATGTTCCTAGCTCAAAAAAATATGGGAAGTTAGTTTCTGCAGGGCAGCTCTGTAGCAAAGTTTGGATTCTGTAATGAATTCTGAAGCTGCTAGAATCATGTTTAATCCAGGATGCTTCATAGGATGCTTCATGGACAAATCAGAAATGGATTACAAGTACAGGTGCCCTGTAGCCTTATACCCCAAATTCACAAAGCTTCATGTAACTCATACAAACATAATTTTGAGAGCACACACAACCCTAACCCACATGTATGCGTGCATATATATATATATTTTTTTTTTTTTTTTTTTTTAAGAAGTGGGAAAGAGATTCTGTAGTAGGCAGCTATTCAGTAGATACAGCTGAGTGTGACTTACAGAAAGATTTCTTTTAAGGAAAGAATTCTTAACTCAAAGCCTTTTGTCCAACTGTAATTTAGATGCTGTTGTTTGGGGACTGCTGCTGTAGAATGTCTGCTTATACAAATTTAATTTTTCAGTGCTGTGGCTGAGTGAGGACCTGTACCAGTCCAAAAGTTTAAATGTTACATCATGCTGACAAAGCTAAATGTGGAAGCTGCAGTCCTTGTAGCTGTGGTATAGCAACAGGTCACTGCTGAGGTAGTCTCATTTATCATTCATCCCCATCTAACCAGTCAAAGGTTTTACAAAGCAGATTAGCATTCTAAGCTTGCTTCCTTCATCACATTTAAAAAAAAAAAAAATTCTCTTTTTGTGCAGACAGAGACTATATGCTATGAAAGTACTAAATAGAAGCCTAATTTTTCATGGTTTCTGTGTGATGAAGAATGTGTGTATGCAGATCAGTTCAAATGACATACACTGAGAAGTAAAATGTGAGACCTGTATCTGAGAGATTAAACACTAACTGGATTTTATCCTCAAAGTTTTTCGGCCAGCAGTTTAGCTTTGAATTCTCAGACAAAAACATACTTTTAAAAGAGAAGGTATAAATATTTGTGCAAAGGATCTTCATTATAAAACTTATACCTGAACTTGGGGCTTTTCTTTGGGATTGGTCAATGTCTTTTCAATTGATTTATCATAGTTAGATCCCTGCAAAACAGGTGAATATTAGTACCCCATTTCACAGATGATTAACTAAGGCATAGAAATAAAGGTCAGGTGAAATTACTACGTTCTTCTTTGCTGTTTTTTTCTTTTCTAATTAATGTGTGACTAGCTCACAGCTATGGAGGTTAGTATTTCAAAAATATTACAAATATGGACAAGCTTGAGTATTTGTTTTCCTAGTTCCTCCAGATGGAGAACTGGACCAAGTTCTAATGCTGCAAAATGGAGAGCAGAGATGTATTGTGCCCTCTGTTCCTGTTGATCAGCCAAAAAGAGGAGCTATGTCTTTGTGGCATTAGCCCTGGTTTGCTTCCTGTCATCTCCCTCCAAAATCTGCCAACAGATCTGCTTTCAGGACTGGCTTTAGACAACTCAACTGATCTTGGAGAAAACATCAAATGCAGCCACTGCTTAGTATAGCCCTCTTCCCCCAAAACACCATTGTCTGCAGAGTAGATGGGTTTCAGATATTCAGCTACTCAATCTGCCCAAATGGCAACCATAAATAGAAAGGACTGGGTTCTTCTAAGAAGGGTTCTGACACTGCATGCCAAGAACAGATGAGATTTGTATGCAGTCTTAGCTCAGTTTGAGCAGAGGCTCCCTGCCCATATTGATGTCAGGTTCCAGACCCTGTGGGGGTCAGCCTTTGTATTCAAACTGCTTCTCTGTTCTAGAAGGTCCAGTGGCATAGCCAGCATCTTACAGGCTTACACTTTGAGACTAGTAAGAGTCACAGTGGAGCCATCAGTAGAACCAGTCAGTGCTAGAACTTAAGAATTTCTGACTGGGACTGTGTCACTCTTGAAACTCACCTGGTCATAGCAAATAGATGATCTTTATTATAAGTATTGGTTCTTAAAATTTTAGCCCATTAGCTGGTGCCCAGCAACTTGTTCCATCCATGTCTTACTTTTATAAATTCAGAGTATAATATTCTGTACTTCTAACAAGTAGAAATAGTTTGTGCTGATATTTAACACAGTCAATGTTCATTAGTCATTTTCCATTATGCTATATGAGGTGCTTCACAAAAATGTAGGAAAAGGACCTTTTGAATTTGGGGATTACAACTTCAAGGTGTTGAGTGTTCAGTAAAATGTAACTTATTACCATGTAGGACATATTGAGCACCTCAGAGGATGACTTAGAATTTGACGGCTAACACTGGGATTTTTTATAACAAGTGTGACAGTTGGTTTACTGCATGAGTGACTGGAGGGAATAACGCAGAGAAGATGGCCATCTCAGTGTCTCTCCAGGGGTTTG